CCAACACCGTAGAGAACGTCGAGAGTATAATGGAAATGTGTACATACAATTATCAACAGGGCCACGAGACTGAGCAGAAAGCCGAAGATCCGCTCCTGCAGTGAAGAAGTATAGTCTACCCAGAACATCATACTCAATGTGATAGGTATCGAATGACCAGAATAGAAAACATCAGCGCAAGTGTGGGACAAACCGAACGGCATCAACAACACTGACCAGAACATGCTGCCCTCAACGAGGTGGGGTACGCATCGCATGTCCGGACTAGGTAGCATGGTGATGGGCACAGAGATGGCCCGGCCTAGGTAGGAGGCTGAGCTCAAGAGGAGCACTCGCTTTAGCACGATGAAGGGATGTCCCGGTTTGGACCCTGCGAATGCTCGGACCACTGCGATGCCCATCACAATGTTCATAGACACATCGGCTAGACTGAAGCCGAAGATGTCGTTGGGAATATAAGGGAGTAATTGGAAGCCTAGATCGGGCAGGATTATGGGGTCTTTGACCTGACCAGTGAAAGGGTCTCGTGGCCATGATCTACCAGCTCGATACTCCACCCAGACGTTCACCACTGAGTTCAGCATCATGGCCGCGACCCACACTGCGATGGCGGGGTATATACGGTTGGTTATTGAAGACAACTTGGGTAAGGGATGGTATAAAGAACAAACTAAGCGAGTTTGGGGTGCTGAAACGGACTAGAGATATCTTTTTGAGCGTAGGGCGAGGAGAACAAGATGTACGTACGTTGAACGTACTAAGTTCCCTCAGGGAACTTCCCTGTTTTACGTTCCAAGTCCCACAGTGTGGGAATTATCGTCCGCGCGGGTTCAAATCGCAGTCGCGGCACTTAACTCAGTGAAAAAGTAGTCAAGGGGCCTATTTCACAAGCGTCCTAATGTAAGGATTTTAACCCATTAGGATGCAATTTAAGGATAAATGGCGTTCACAAGGGCCCTTTCCTTAGGTTGGGTTAGGACTTTAGGACATTAGGATCCTTACCGTTAGGATTTAGGATATTAGGATGCCTTTATCCTCAAAAACAGGCTGTTAGGACGCTCGGCTTTCACAAGCTATATTTTTAAGGAAATTTTTATCCTAATGGTAAAGTACCTCGGGGGACCATTTCACAAGCGTCCTAATGTTAGGATTTTAACCCATTAGGATGCAATTTAAGGATAAATGGCGTTCACAAGGGCCCTTTCCTTAGGTTGGGTTAGGACATTAGGATATTAGGATCCTTACCGTTAGGATTGAGGACATTAGGATGCCTTTTTCCTTAAAAATTGGCCTTTAGGACGCCCCGGCTTTCACAAGCTATATTTTTAAGGAAATTTTCATCCTCACGGTAAAGTACCTCGGGGGGGTACTTTACCGGCAATCCTATGTTAAAGTGTGCAAGACGACTCGCTGCGCTCCGCCAA